CATCCTTCAAGGTTCAGCTTTAATGCCACCTTCTATAACAAGGCCTTGCCTGATCACACCCAGCAGTCAATGATCTTCCTCCCCAATCTCTCCATCTCTCTAAGAAGGAGGTGGTTCTGAATCTATTTCCTACTTACTTATCTGGGGACACATTTTTTCCTCAAGTAGAATGGAAGTTCCTTCAGGGAAGTTCATTTTTGGTTTTGTATCCTCACAACCTAGAACAGAGCTTTGTACATCTAGCTTCTTAATAAATGCTTCTTGAGGCAAATTCATTTTTTTTTCTAAGAGACAAGGAAGCCAAGAGAAGGACTAGTTTGTTCCTTTTGCTAAAATATCCAGAGAAAAACAATAACACTTTTACTGTTTGCCAGTCCTACTCCTCAGCTTCTGGTAACTGGGCTTAAATCCCCACCACTCTAAAGAAACTGTCCACTTCAAGGTCACAAATGACCTGACATGCAAGCTATCAATAGGCTATCTATAAGCCTATCACATCTATATTCAGCTTTATCTAAACAGTCTTTATCTTCTTCCAGGTCTCAGTGGTATTTGACAATGTTGACTGGCTCCTCCTTCCACATTCTCTGTCTTCCCTTAGAAGACACCAATCTCTTTTGGTTTTCTTCCTACTTGGCCAGCATTCTTTGTGGAAAGCTTTCCTTGGGTCTTTTTCCTCGTCCTGCCTCCTAAATGTGACCGTCACTCCCTCCTGCCAAACTCTATCACTGGCTCCCTTCTTTCTCTCTCTAGAATATTGCATTCACTCCCCTGGCTTCAACTATCACCTCTATGCAGATGTTCCCTCAATCTTTCTTTTTCTAGCACTGACCTCTCTTCTGAGCTCCCAACCCACAAATACAACTGCTGTCTGGCTAGTCTACCAGCACTGAAAACTCAACTTGTCTAAAATAAAACTCATCTCACTTCCCCTCCTCCTTCAGATTTTATATGTAAAATTCCTCCTTCAGACTTCATATTTAAAATGTTTTATTGACAAATTTTGTTTTGTCAACATAGGTTCCACTATATTGACCAATACAGGGAGACAGAAATCCCAGGATGCTATTCCCCCACAAGGCTATGGATAGAAAGCCTGACCATCTTTATCTTCAAAAAGTAAGTATTTCCTAGCTTAATTTTTCTTGGTAATTTATACTCTACCACACTAGTAACTCTACTACTTAATCTAAATTTTCTTAATCTCTACAGGCAGGCCTTCATTTCTTCTTATGTAAAATGAGGTAGTTAAACTAACTGTCCTCTAATGTCCCTTCTAGATCCAAGTCTAATTAATTTAAACATAAATCATTATTACACGAGATTATTTGCAGTGATGTTTAAGGTTCTAATAAAAAATAAATTCCCCAACCTGGGGAAAATTTCCTTGGGTAAATTTCCAGTTGCCAATATTGTTCTAAGAATAGCACTGGATGAGACAGATGAGATAGAAGGTGACTTGTGCTATAAGAGGGATAAACCATATTGATGAGATCAGAGCCTCTGGAGTATTTCTCTTCTGAATTTTAATAATGCCCTCATTTACGCAGTTATAGTCAGTGTGTAGATTCTTCTTCCGGCTCATCCTTCCATCCTGGAAGCCAGGTGTTCCTCCACTTCTTTGTGTTCCTTATTTCTTTCAGGTCAGTATTCTATGTCACACAACTCACTCTGCCACCCCCACCCCCCAATTGTGGGGCACACAGTTCGCTTTCAACTCTTTACTAATACAAATAGTGCTACTGTGAATATTTTCATGTGGGTCTTTTTTTTCCTGCCAATAACCCCTTATAAGTAAAATCCTAAAAGTGGGAGTGCTGGGGCAAAAGTATGAACGGTTTTGTAACATTTATCGTACAAATATGTATTTCTTTCCAAAACAGCATTTCACCACCTTTCCAGATTATTTCACAGTATTTCCAAAACAAAATTTCATAGCTCTGCCAGCAGTAAATTCACTCACTTTCATCTACCAGAACGAATGCTATTCTTTATCATATTTGCCAGTTTGGTGATGGTAAGGTGAGTTTCCCATTTGTACTTCATCACTACATGTCAGATTTGCATTAATTTGCATTTCCCTGATTACTAGCAATTTCCTTTTTTTCTTCCCAAACAGTAGCTGACAGTTTGAGTTTTTCCTTTTGAAAACTGCTAGTATATTTTGAGCACTTATTTATTAGGGAATGGTTTACAAATCATTTTAATTGTTTCTGTTAATGGCACCACCAATCCTAACACTAGGCTTTAAACTCTTAAGTCACCTTTGATTTTTCCTCCTTTATCTCCCATATCCAATCAAGTTCAAAGTCCTGTTGAAACTACCTGCACAATAACTTCTCAAATATGCCTCCCCTCTTTCCCACTCCCATAGATACCACTCTAGCTTAGGTCCACACATCTCTCAAACAGCTTATTAAAGTAGCCTCCTAATTAGCCTCCCTGTATTTATAGGCTCTCCTCTAGAATCTATGCTTCCATAGTTCCCAAACAGTCTTCCTCATGTACACATCTAACCATTCCCATGCTCAAAAACTTTTCAGTTGCTCCCCCACAGTCCACTGAACAAAATTCTTTTTATATTCCAGTTGGCCTGGAGGTCCAGATCAAACGTCACTTTCTCTATGAATTATTCCATTATCTTATCATCTAAAAGCAGTCTCTCCCTCTGAGCTTCCTCAGTCCAGTGTCTATAACCACTCATAGTATTCAACACAACTTGCTTTCCTCTATATCCCAATTTTCTCCTCCATCTGCAACCCCAGAGGATGATCTTCCCCCAGAGTAGGGAATCTGTCTTATCTCCCTCTCAACCCCCATCCCCTCCAGTGCACAAGTGATTAAATATTTGTAGAAGCAATGAAGGGTGAAAAATCCTAAAGGAGAGGCAGAAACTTATTTTCTCATTGGCTTAAGCTCTATTTTTAAGTGTGAATTCAAACAGAGAAATGTGGATGGTTTCCCTGGAAACAGAAAAGAAATTCTGCCAAAAGGATGCAGGCATATGTATTGTATATAGATAATATGGTTTCCAACCCCCACTGAGCATAAAGACAGAACTAGCTTGGAAAGCAAATCTCATAAAAGAAAGCCAAGTTCCCAAGTTTTTCTGATAGCATGTCTGACAGGAGAAATGTAACAGATTTTAGGGAACTTGAGTCAAAAAGAATCCAACTTTGGCACCATGAGAGACTTTAGTTGCAAAACTGTATTACTTGAGGTTGGAGGGGATGGAGGAAGTACATAACTGCTGAGACTCACTGTGATGGGGTAAAGGTTTTTGCCTATCCTCAGAGGCTGAATCTAGATTAGAGCGGCCAACTTGAGGCCTGGGGGACTGACAGGGCCCAAAAATCAAAGGGAAGAGCCTTACTATGTGGGGACTTTCCCTGACTGATCCCATCCAACTGTGACTGCTTCCTTACTCTAGCACCTCAGAGTTGAAAGATTCAGTATCAAATGTGAGGGTTCTACAAGTTGCTTAAACTTGTCAGACCAGAGGATAAAGGAGAGGCAGGTAAGAGGTAGGTCAACCTTACTCATATTAGGGGTGGGGGTGGGGGGAAGGGAGAAGTGAAATCCTATCATAAAGGTTCAAAGAAATTGAGAGAACCCTCATGCTCCCTCCCCTCTGGTCCTTTGCCTCTCACTCAGTGTCCCACCTAGACCCACTGTTGACCAACCAGTGAAGGCAATAGGGCCTTCACCAGCTGCCAAGGACTTGCCAAAGACTCCTTGTCAACCTTGCTTGGAAAAGGAACAGTTAGACTCCAAATCAGCTGGTACAAGGCCTTCCTCAACTTCCTCTTCTGAACCATGAATCCTGGATCCTCCTCTTAGGACCATGTGGCAAGGACTAGCCTAGGTTAGGTTGCCCTAACCCAAGACTAACTTGGCTTCAAGCTCACACATATCCAGAGGGTAGGAAGAAAATGTCTATACACATACAACGTCAAAATATAGACATTAGAGACTGGAAAATTCACACACACACAAGTACAAGAAGACGCACAATCCAGAGCAGGGGAAAAGGTAGTTTCCCCACAAGTACACAGACTGACACACCCAAAGGTCAAAGTGCAATAAGCCTCAGTCATAAATATTGTCCTGCCAAGGCTGGCCTATTCTGTGAGGTGGCAGAGGCAGCTTTATAGACATTCAATAGCTCAACACCTGGAAAGAGCCTCAGTCATCCCACCCCCACGGAGACTTCTGACTCCACTCACCCTGGGCATCCAGACAGAACTGCAGAATTGAAAAAAGGCTTAGAAATCCCTCTAGGGAAACTGAGGCCCAAGGAATGGAAGTGATTTGTTCAAGGTTGCACATCCAGTCAGTCAGTATCTGATCTGGGTCTTAGAACTTCGGGATTTTCCCTCTGGACAAGAACGCTTTGCTTTCCTATCCCTTCCCCAGACTCTAGGACTGCCTTCACCCACCTCCCAATGCCCAAGGCTCTAGATTCCATTCCATATTCCAAGGGATCCCCACCACCGTCTCCGGTTAAACTTGTTTCCTGCTACAAAAAAGGAACAGATCTCTCTGACACACATCCCCCTTCCCTCCCCAATGTCCTTTCCACTCGGCCCCGGGTCTCTGACCCCGGGCCGTTACCGCCCTCTAAGGTCACTCCGCACACTCCTCACAAACAGGTGCAAAGGTGCGGGGCCAGAAGCACACCTCTGGAGACAAGTCTGCTGATGCCCCCCACTCCACGCGCTGACAGGCGTGCTGTGCCCCGCACGCCATCCCACCTCCGGGGTCACCTGTGCTATGCCTCCCCCTCTCCCCCTTACATCCTCCCAGGTGCACCCCCGCCCCTCACTTCCACTCGGACATGCGTGGTGCACACAGACTCGCGCGCCCCCTCCTCTCCCAGAAGACGCATATATTCCACCACCATCCCCCTCAGCGCGGAGACGCAAGCTGCACTTCCCCCCCCCAATCCCCCCCCATGCGCGCCCCCTCACGGGCATGCATGCGGCAGCCTAGCCCCTCACCTCCGCGCGGACACGCGTGCTGTGCCGGCCGCCCGTTGCTATACGGCATCCAGATCTTCTTCAGGGGGTTCTGGGTGAGCTCCCGGGGGGAGGCCATGGGGACGGACCGCAGTGTTGGCGGGCGCTGCGCAGCCGGGAACAGCTAGCGGGCAAGCTGGCCTGAGGGCTGGGGGCCACCTCCTCCTCCGCTGGCCACCTCCCCCAAGGGCGGGGCCCCGAGACTCCACCTCCGCAGCCTGGGGACCAAGTCTCCGCCCAGCCCCGTGGCTCCGCCTCCCCCTCTTCCTCCCCGCTCTCCACCCGAGGCCCCGCCCCCAGCTCCTAGTGCCGGGGACCCTCCTTCAGCCCCGCCCCGTCGGTCTGCGGCCGCTGGGAGCGTGGGCTGGAACAGGGAGGGGAGAAGATCCGACCGGGTGATTCCCGGATCCTTCGGCTACTGGTACAGGGCTGAGCAAGCAACTGAGTTAACTTCAGCGACGCCACTACGTCCCCAAGACCTCCCCAGGCATCGGGGCCAGCCCAAGAGATAGATGCGTCTTCCCCCTTCTTTGCCCTTGCAGGATGAGGCAGCAACTCCCACCCTCTGTCTCAGTTTATACGTGTGTCTCTCCCATTCTCTTGATACAAGGCTCTCCTCCCCCAACACACCAACCCTTCACATCTTCCAGCCCCAGGCCAACCCCTACCCTTAAGTCCTTCTCAGAGATTCCCCAAGGAAGACCAGCATCGTGAATCTGGACAAGATCGTTTCCCACTCAATTTCTCAAGCTTAAAAATGCGGGAGGGGGTGGTTAAGAAGGTCTCTAATTATGTGTGTGTAGAGTCGGTCAGGAATCCTTGGATCACTACTGAAGATGACTTCTCTTGCAAAAAAATTTAGGTCAATGTAGTGTTTATGATATTGCAAAGATATAAAAACTAATTCGTGGGGTCCCAATGACCCGGAATGCAATAGGTCTAGGCCAAGATACTTTAAGCTGCTCTGGACTCAGGAGTCTGGAGAGTGAGAGAAAGGTGCCTGTAGGCCCTCGGAAGAAGGAGAAAGAAAACAGAGCAAGGGAAAAAGCCATGGGGTGTGGTGGGTAAGGCCAGCCCAGACGCCAACAGGAGCCTGGAGTTTGCCCTCTTGCCCGGACACAGGCTGGTGAAGTGTGAGCTCTGTCACTGCATGACCAGTTGATCACTGGAGTGGACTCCATGTGGGTTAATTCATGGTTCCTATCTTGATCTATCTCCATAGGTTAAGGGGCACTGTGGGATACCCCCTCTGAGGCCCTTCAGCACCATCTTACCCCATCCCTACCCTCAGACTTGGACTGGAGCTCAACCCAAACTCCAAAATCCATCCTCTTTCCCAGGTCATCTTTGGCTCATCACTGAAACAAGTGCTATATCACTGCCTCCAAGAAGTCTTCCTGGATATGAAATATGGGTCAGAGAACCTGAGTTTGAATTTGAGTTCTGCCATTTACTACCTGTGTGATCCTGAGCAAATCAGTTAGCCTCTGGGCCCAGCTTCCTGATCTGTAAAATTAGGACATTGGACTACATGATCAATTCTAACTCTATGAACACATGACAACTTTATATTTATCCTACCTATCCCTACTCAGCTGATGACAGGACTCTGCCTCCAGATTTCCTCCCATCCTCTCCATATTTATGCTCCCCCTTCATGAAGTGACTTACACGAACATCCTACTCTGTTTCTCATCTATGCATAGTTCCATAGGTTCCCAAAGTGGGCAATACCACCCTCTGGGGGAAGATGGACCAATCCAGTGGGGAGGTAGTAGCCTCCAGTGATGAAAATTTAAAAAACCAAACTTTTAAAGGGTTAAAGAAAGTAGATTTCTAGGGGGGTGTTGAGTAATTTTTTTAAAATGGGGCAGTAGGCCAAATAAGTCTGGGAACCTCCAGAAGGCTAAGGTAGAAGGGAGCTGAAGCAGCAGATACTTCGCTACATTGCAGCTGTCAAATCCCTTTCCATCACATTCTTCTTAGAGGCCAGAGACTTTCTACTCACATCATAGGTGGAAAGACCAGGGTGCATTGATATAATGCTTTAAGGTTTGCAAATATTTCATTTTATCTTCACAACCCTTGAAGATAGGTGCTATTATCTCTATTTTACAGAAGAGAAAACTAAGGTAGACAGAGGTTAATTAACTTAACCTAGGGTCACACAGTGTCTGAGGCTGGATTTGAACTCAGGTCTTTTCTAACTCCAGATCCAGTACTCTAGCTACTGTACCACTTAGCTACCAAAAACCACATATAAGGACACAGTTCTAATTCCAAACAGCTTCTTCCCTACCCATCCTTCCCTGCTTCTACTCTCCCCTCCATGTAAAGTCTGCTAAAGATGTAAAATTTTCCTTTTCTGAGAAAGTAAGCACCTTGACTGAGTCCCCTAATTTACACTTGGCTTTCTTAGGAGATATTCAGGGCTAAGGTCTTTGCACGACATTTCTCCGTCCCAGACACTGTACAGTCTGCAAACTTGCCTTACTCCCAGGTACCCTGTGTACCATGGATAGATTTCAGGAGAATCTATGAACTTGAATTGGGGGAAAAAATACATCTATTTTCGCTAACCTCTCTCTGAAATTTAGCATTTCCATAACTTATGAACTGTTAAAAATACACTCTTAGAAGAGGTCCATAAGCTTCACCAGATTGCCAAAGCGGTTCAAGACACAGAAGAAGGTCACAAATCCCAGCTGTGCACCAGTGACCCACCAAGCCTCTGTTTCTGCATTACTGAGGGATGAGATCCAGAGGTATTAAAAACCAGGAACAACTGAGAGGCTATTCCTGACATGAGTCTATGCACACTCCAGCTATAGCCTGGGTACTGACTAATGGGTGTTCTGGCTGCCTTCAGCCACTCTGACAGTGTTGCCGGCTCTGGGCTCAAGGGTAGAAAGAAGCCTGATAAACCCACCCTATCTTCATGGCTCAGAGAGGGAAGAGCCAAAGCTCATTAGGTAGAGGAGGATGGCTCAGGAGCTGTTGGTAGGAAACTGTCAAGCCTTGACAGGATCATCAGGGAGTTTCAACTTGCCTTAGCCTAAGAAACAACCAGAGGAATGGACACACAAGCACACATGCAAAAGCAAACATTCATACATGGATGCTCAGGCAGACCTCCTTCCCACCCCCAGCATGGCCTTTCCCCTGGGACCAAGGCTGTGGAGCCTGGGGCAGATTCTCCCTGGGATCACTGATAAACACTTTCCCAAGAACCTTCAACCTTCCTGCTCCCAGGAAGATGAAGTGGAAGAGGCAGGCTGGGGAGTTAACCTTTGTAGTGCTAAGAACTGATGCGGGACCTTTCTACTTGTCAAATCCGTGGCTGAGGGGATGAACCTGACTCAGAGCAATTCAAGCCTAAATAATTGCTGCTCCCACAACCAGTTCTTCTGAACACCCCGCCCCCAGCAGATCAAAGCAGACCCCCTAATCCCAAAGACACAAAGTCCTACAGCAACTACAATCAGCTCTCACTTCTCTCCACAAATAGTAGGCAGATATAACTAACCCGGAATGTTCCATTTGACTCAGAACCTCATCATAGGGTTGAATTTAGGGGAGCAATGAATTTTTCTTCATTTCTATCACTGGGTCATTCCTCAGCTCCAGAGAGTTTGATGACTTTCCACTGTCAGTAGAATCAATTTCAAGTACCTCAGCCTACCATTCAAGGTCCTCTACTAACTGGTCTCAACATCTCATTTCTCTATTTTCTTCACCCTTTTTCTTTTACATCTTAAATGATTTATTGATACTTTTTTTTTAAAAAATGGTACTCACTTCCCAACGGTAATAACTTCCATATCCTCCTCCCTTTCTCCCTTGTAATAGAAGACAGTTGAGCAAAACTGAACACACTTGTCACATGGGACAATGCCCCATTCCACACCTATAGTTTACCACCTCTGTGCCAAAGTGAGAGAAGTATGCTCAGTATCAGCCTTCTGAAGTCTAGCTTGGTCACCACATTAATCACTCCTAATTTTTTTTCCTGTGTTGCTTTTTATTTACATAATTGTCTCATTTCCCACCCCCCCCACTACCACAGAGGCTATAGTCATTCCTGCTCCCTAGCTAGTCTCATTCCACTACCACCAACACCCCATTCAAACCTAAGCTATCCTTTAAGGTCCAACTCATTTCACCTTCTCCAGGAAGCTTTCCCTAACCCCTACAGCTCATGTGGATTTTTCTCTCCTTTGAACTGTGCTCTCCAGCGGGAAGGGGGGCGGGTTGGAGAAAGAATAGTAGGGATAGTCTATTTTTGAGGTGATGGGGGAAAAAAACTACCTGTCTGTGACAGTTCTTTATTTCCTTCCTTGCCCCATTCCCCTTGGGTAAGAAAGGAGGCACCTTGTAGGTGAAATGATTATGCAGTAACTACTGATTGGTCAAGAGACAGCATGCAATTACAGAACGGGCCAATGAATACTACCCAGAGCACAGCATGTGGACAAATCCTAGATTGGAACAGAAGTGTCTGGGGAATCTTCATGCCTTTCTAGGGCTCCCAAGGAAGCCCAGGCTCTGGTCTCTGGCATCTTGGGCCAGTTTCCTCCTAGAGAACCTTAAAGATCAGGCTAGAAGGCTTATCCAGACTGTTTTGACATTGTTAGTTCTTTTACTCATTCTAATTTTCTTCCTCTTATGAATCCTTTCTAAATCTGTTGATTCTCTTTAACCTTGTGAATTGATCCTAGAAAACACAATCATGTATGTGGTCTGGATGATGGGGAGACAGAAAGGAGAAGGGAGCAGGAAGACAAACTAGTGCACAGAATTACCTTGGGGAAGTGGAAGGGTAATTAAGGCTGGAGGCTTAAGTGAGAAGGGATAGATTTCTGAGTCCAGAGAGCCAAGCAGTATTCAGAAACTAGGAAATTCAGAAGATTCAACTGCCTAAAAGTTGAGTTTTTAGTTGCCAGTGATTGTTTAGAAGGTGGGGGAAAAGGTGCTATGAATGAATTGAAATAAGTGCTGCTACACACGATCAGCAACCTGTGAGATCTTTTACAGAGCCCTGACAGAGTTTAAAATGACCATAAATTTATCTTAGGGGTCATCTAGTCCAACCAACTGGAAAGGATCTAGCTATGGCTCTGTCCTTGTGTGACAATGAAGATAAGGCTTCACTTCTCTAGGTTGGTTTGCCCATCCTAAGGATGGGTAACAACCCTGATAGTTGCTTTTGCGAAGACCTAAAGGATCAATGTCTAGGAAAGCCTTTACAGAATTCTGCACAGATATAAGGGAGGGCTATCCCATATACCATCCAGA